TGTCCCAAAAACGCAGGTTGGTTGGTTCTCCTAGCACCTATTCACACATTTTTAAATAACTCAAGTCACCTTAAAAAACCAGAAAATATTTAAAAGGAAAAATTCAATTCTTCACATTAATTCTTGCTATAAAATTAGATAAGCGTGGGATAAAACATCAAAGAAGTTAGAACATTATTGATGTGTACGAATGTTTTAGTCTCACAAAGGAGAATCAGCATTTAATAGCATTTCATGTACTGAACTCTGTGCATTTGAAGAGTTTCAGAATCAAAATGGTTCACCTACACAGACACATGTACACTTTGACTTTTTAAATCATGTTCTAGGTCTTCGCAGCCAAATGCCTTTAGGAATATGTATCTATACACATTGAAAACAAACAACACTCACTTTATAGGCGCACAAAACAAACACAAAAAGCCTTAGGTGCACAAGTGTATGTATGTATCCAAGCATAAAACATTTTCTGCTCTTCCAACACAAGAGAAAGCAAATTAAAATGGGCAAACAATTCACAAAAATTGCTGCCTGGAATATATGGACCTTCCTGTCACAGCCTTTTGAAGCTGAAATTATCCAACATGCAAAAAGCACTGTTAATTTTGATCATAATGAAATCAAAAGCATTCTAACCATGCTAGAAACCGTGATATAAAAATGGATGCAAGAAGAGCTAGATTTGTATTCTGAAAGTTGAGCATCATGCTAGGGATGTTTTTTCCTAGAAAAGCACGTCCGACGCATGCTACTTAGGAGAAGCATTTGGCTTAAAAACACAGAGCAAAGCCAAGAAATAACCAAACTGAATGTTTCTGCACTAGAGGTATTGCCCTCTCAACCCACTAATATTCATGCCTCTTCCCATCTCTCTCAGCACTGGTTAGTTCACCTTCAGCATGCATAAGAGTTGATGAGGAACTGTCCCTCCTACTCTACCTAATTTTGCTCAGCTGATTCCTTGCCCTGGACAATGGCTGCAGTGCGATGAACTCGTCACTTAAAGCAACTCTGTTGGAGTACATCTACAATTGGACAGAGAAGGGATGGAACATACATGTCAGTAAGTAGCAGCAGTAATTTTCTAAGAGAAAGACACAGGACAAGACATTGTTATTTAAGTGGAATACACATCATATACAGAACACAAGCCTGGTACCTTCAGGACAGCTCCTGGGATCATCAGAGCCAGTTACTGTTGGTAGGACCATTCTTAAGTATACCTTAGCTTTCATACTTAGAAAAAAGGCCTATAAACTTTTACATCTATACTTTACCAGACATCTTTATTCAGTATTACCTTCTCCCCTTAATAGCGCTGTGATTTATATTTACTCAGAGATTTATATTTTTATTTAGACTTATCTTACTGTCCACTTCCTCTTAAGTGATCCTGTAAATGACCTATAGTCAGAAATTACCCAGAAGCTACTTCAGGGCAACAAACTTAAGTCAAACATAAGATGTATTTTCTTTAAGGCCAGCAAAATCCACCTTGGAACATGGAAAACACCTGAAACAAAAAAAAAATCCTACATTAAATGCACTTTCAGTGCATTTAAGGAAGATAAAGTTAACCAAATTCATCCCTCTGTAAAAGTCAACTCATGCTTGCTTGTAAAATTTTTGATATACTGACTTCCCAAAATGGAACAGAGATTTTTTATTTTTTATTTAAAAAGTCGTTGTGACAGAACAATTTACATCTAGGAGTTTATATTTAGTAGAATTTCTTAGTATTTCTCTCTCATACCAGTTAAACTTCTTTGGTCTTTTATGAATAACTTAGCTACACATAACATCTAACTGCTGAGATTGACTATTGATGCTACAACCTTATACTAAATAAAAGATATAAAATCAAGTTCCTTATCTACTGATTAAGGCAGATGCCTACGCAAGCATTGTGTATTGTACTCTGAAGTGAATTCAGAGCACTAGGGTTGGGTGACTCACACAATTAGCGTGCTCTTCATTTCTGAAAAATTAGAACAAGGGCAGCAAGCACTTTCCATTGAGAAACTTGGGTTTTGCTCACTGCTACTGAGAATATTTTAGAATTTAAATAATGCTGGACAGAAACAAATAACTTAAATAGCTGCGATTTAAAAATCAGTGGCTAGTTCATGTAACAATTTATCTTGCCCTCATAAAAACTTAGTAACTATAAACTATATTTTTTCTTTCCCCCAATATAATAATTTAGTCTTACAATTAAAAATATTCCTTTATACAGAGAGTGCACCTACACTACAAAAAATGCATTTAAAGGGGCAATATACAAAGTTTCATTTTCAGTCTTTCAATGACTTTCAAATAATATCCTTAGCATTTAGAACAGACATTCTCCAAGCTCTTTCTAGCTGAAAGTCAACAGTCCTTTCCTCGGCTTTGAAACTGAAAGAAAAGTATTTATTAGAAATTTTAAACAATCCTAATGAGGTACATCTAATGAGATACAATAATGAAAGAAGCATTTTGTCACTTCTTGACAATGAATGTGCTTAAGCGGTCATGTTCATCTTTCCATAGGTCTACTTCCCAACTGTAAGAACAGCTGATGAAATTCAGTGGGGCTGATTGTCCCATTAAAAGTAAGAGTGGGAAAATCTCAACAGATTAAACCTCAAGAAGGAATAAAGAGGTGCCTTCTTTTTGTAAATACATTTTAAACTATGATTTCACTACCAGACACAGACAGAAACCACTGAATGGCTGCTGATGCATTTCTGGTCAAACCAGATTTTAGATTTTTAGATTTAGATTTACATTTTAGGTTTGCAATATCAGGAACTAAATATTTTCAGAAAGCAACTGTATTTTGGTAAACTCAGACCCTAATTCTGACACCATCAAATGGCAAAGCAGAATGGGAATAAGGGGAGAGGGGAAAAAAAAATAAGGAAGAAAAAAGATGACTAATAGGTATGCACAAAGCAAAATCCCGCAGCTATGAATCAAGCAATAGCCATGGGAAAGGTGTTAGACATTCATCAAGATTCCTTCTTAAAAATAAGAATAAGAAGTCCGACTGTGTCCTTGATGACACAACTGTAATGGAACAGATGCCAGAATTTCTAAAGAACTGATTCAGAAAGCAAGAGAATACAAAAAAGAAGCACACAGATCAAGCTAGGGAAAAGTGATGTGTGCTTTTTGGATTTTAATTGAAGCACCTTAGGAACATGAGAAACCTCAACAGCCAACTGATACTCTGTAAAACAGCTGATGTACAGGAAGGAAGGAAAAGAAAGCATTTGATAAATCTTGCCACTAGTTTTTGAAGGCAGGGGGAAAGGAAAGGTAAGTAACTACTCTCCTTACCTATAGATTTTTTCCTAAATCAAGACTCTTTAATCCAAAGAGTACAGTGACATACAATCAAGAGTCTTATCAGGTCTAGTTAAACAGCTTTCTGAAAGCTAGCAGTTATTCACCTTGGCTTTTAGCTACTAAATTCAAAACAGGAAGAAACAGCTAATATTCCAGTTTTGAAAAGTGACTAATGGGATATTTTTGCTTGCAGTCGGTTTCTCTGCATGATGTTGATCCTAGGCAGATCAAGAGAATGTCTCTATATATAGACTTTTTTCAACACACAGATTAGAAGGGTAACATAATCTAAGTACATCAACATGCATGTACATAAATTACGAGGTTAGATGCTAAAGGTAGCTGCTGATGTAAAGTAGTTACAACTTATGTATGGCACATAGCTCAGCGTAATTTCTATTAAGCAACTAGGACACAACAAAATCAATATGGCACACAAATGGACTAAAGCCCGCTAACAGGCTTCAGAACGTAACTGTATATCTTTGTCAAATGGATTCTTCTTTCACTTTCTTTTTTTTGGCCCTACACTAATTGATCTCTCATCAATTACCTGGAAGAAATCAACATAATGACTCGCAGATGAGAAAGAGATGCAGAAGATAACAGGTTACAGATGTATATGATTTCATAAACGGAATACTAGTAGGGAATTCTTTAATTCCATGCTTGGCAGTGATGTATGCTGTGTTATAATATTGTGTCCACTGGTGAAATCCAAAATTCAAGATAGGTTGAAGAATGGTGAAGATTACAGGAGAAACACAAGAATGATTAAGACTGGAAAATAACCTTTTTGACAAAAGATGCAAGCCCGATCTACTCATCAGTGAGAAAATTAACTTGATCAAAAACCTAACAGCGAACAAAGCAAAAAGCTGCTAATAGAAGCCTTTTCAGTTTAGCAGAAGTAGTAGAAAAGACAAAATGCTGAAAACTGAAACCAGAGACAGTAGCTACTAGAACAATAGGTCAGGATGACTTCTTCATAGCTGACACTAAGAAGAAAACACTCAAACATAGATGAGATATTTACCTAACAGACAGCCTAATTTCAACATGATTTCAAGGAGTTTTTGTAGCCTGTGTCAGGCAAAAGGGAGATTGTATTATCATAGCATATCTTTAGATCTCTTCTATGAATTTATGAAAATGCCACATGGGTAATTATCTTTAATTACATAATCAACAATCAAATACGTGGCATATGGCATGATCAAGATTTAAGAAATACTAACTAAACCAAGTCCTACTAATTTTTTAAATTTTTTTCATCGCATTCTAAGAACAATTCAGTGCCAATTGCAGTTGGAGAGCTTCTGATATGTAGACGAAAAGGAGAATAAGTTACCATCTTTAAAGAAGTACAAAAGTGTATGGTGTGATCCTTATACAGTTGCAAGTTGAGATACAAAGACTAGTGATCCCCTTTATAATTATGCTGTTAATACCAATTAAATATAAATGTTATTTCCTTGTAAAATGGTGTCCTCATTTTTATAGTTTTAAAATAACAATTATCTTTCAAAATTAGAACACTTCTAAGCATTAAACATGAAAATAGAAAAAGATGATTAAATATTCCAGGAAAGTAATTAGTTTACAAGACAGATTTTAACAAATGTTATCTTCTATTGATAAAGTTGGATACAAAGGCATAATATTACCTGAGCTTTTTCAGTACTTGTTGGTTGTAGATGTCTGTACAGCACTTTCTTCACAACATCAATAAACAAACAAGCAACTACTATGAGGATTATGGCAAACCAAGCAGAACCACTTGACAACAGTTGAACAAATACAAAGTACATGTCCTGGGTATGTAAAAATGGCCTGAAAAGTTAAAAGAAGTGGCAATTACTAGAAGGAACTTCTAGAAACAGAAGACAGCAGGCTCAAGCGTATCTTACTTTACATCAAGCAGCAAGTCTCTCAGGATGCAGAGTTACAACTGCATGGTGTCTATGAAGTCTACCAATCTGTTGGACCTGACCTGAAAAGAAACTCTACAGAAGAAGAGCACCTAACTTTGGAGGTAAACGTTCTGGCTTAGTTTTAAAATATGTTGCAGGAAATCAGTCACCATCCTATCCTTCCAAGACCCCAAAATACAATAAAAATACATCCCTTTACTGACTCAACCTCTAGTGTCTTTATTTCTGTTGCAAACATTTACCTATTATAAAACACCTTTGGGAACCTACCTACTTTTTTAAAACAAAAATGCATTTACAGTCACAGGCTGTCAGGACAAATAATACCTGTCCTTGGGCATGGGACAGCTTAGGAGCATTGCTCAAATATCTAGAAGAACCATCAAAGCAAGTGGCTACTCTAGGTTTAAAAATTTGTTTTCCAACACCTGTCACAGAATTCAGAGCTAGATGGTAGAACATAATATTTCAATGTTTATTTCATAGCTGGGGGGGGGCTGGGGGGAAGGAATCACTTACCAGATTATTCCCCCATAAAACAAGGAGAATATAAAATAAAATACAATGGATCCCCAAGTAACAAAATGGTTTATCCATGTCCAGAAGTGAGTTTCTAGGGCCATCTATAAGAAAGATAATGTCAATCAACTTCCTTTCCCACCCACTTCACAGAAAATGATAAATACCAGTCTGAATGTACTTAGGAACTTCCAGCTCAAACACTAGATTTTGCATGTTGTAACATGCAAAAACTACAAAGAAAAAATTTAACTACCACTGAAACCAAATGTAAAAATCACTTAACTGCAATCCTCAAGAATCAATTAGTTCTCTGTAACTTCTGAATAAATTTGAAGTTATTGCCCTATTACATATTTGCCTATATATCAAAATACAGAAAGTAATTAGTATAATATCATACCTTCATTGTAACGGTTATAACCATAACAGTGAAGACCAAAGTACCAAATGTCCAGTTTCCAAACATCTAAGAAAATGGCAAATCATGGAAGAAAAAAATTAGTTAAGAGCATTCATGGTAAGTTAGATTCCTCTCAAGTCAGCTACATTAATGAATCAAGCTTATGACAACTAATCATCTTGAAAACACAATAAGGATACAACACGAACTACTACAGCTTATAAGAGCAAAATTAACAACCCACAAGTCATCTTTCTTCTTGGTTCAAAACAGATCACCACAAAGGCTACATGATATATGAAGAAAGTACAAAACATTGACATAAAATAATAGGAAAATGAAGATACCAATTTGATCAATTAAGTAAAAGCATTCAATAGAAAACAAATACTGGGTGGAAAGTATGCACTTTAATCTAAGTGCAAACCACGCTGAGTTTAAACATTTCCAGATCATTTCCAACATGCAGCATCACCTGAAAGTTCACTTTTTACCCCAAACACAATTTAAAATTCAAAAATAATGGTGCCATTGTAAAACTCCTCTAAAGAAAAGACACTTTGTTTCAAGGCTAATAAACACAAAATGAAACTTCGATTCTACAACAGAATCTGTCACTTTTGTATTCTCTTGCCCATATAAATTAAACTACCAAAACTCTGAACAAGTTCTACAACAATAAAATCTCAGCTCTGACAACCAAGCAGGGATGCTGAGTTTGTAATATATCTACATACATGCTACTCAGACACACACTGCCAATCTACAACAGGTCCAACTGCTCTGCTCTTGGAAGCAGTCTGGGTGCTGAAGCTGAAGACATTGCTGTTACATAGCTATTTTTGCCACTAACATACTGAACAATGACCAAATCCTTAGCTCTATTAACCAGTGGCAAACTAAGCAAGCAAGGAGAAAGGTACCACATGCAGACAGGCAATCAAAGTCATCCTAGAGCTGATTTGTTAGTACAGCACAGAGGCATGGAACTGGGATTCGCACAGTTGTAGTCCTTGTTACAGAGCTCTGACAAAAGCAAACAAAAAATCCCAACAGCCTGATGACAGATCTCACAACTGCTTTTCTCATCTTTACACAGGGTACAGAACTGAGGCAGTCATGAGTCTGGACTTACTGATAATTTGAAAGATGTTTATTAAAATACATCTTCTGAAGCCTTCCATTTACTTTTCATACTGATAACAATATTTAAAAAGCAACATGTTTGCTGCTAACTGCTGCAATAATATCTTAAAATAAAACCAGACTACTGCTTCTGAGTGACCTGTGAAAGAAAGTGTCTTTGCTAACACTGCTCTCAATGGTCACAGAGTTAGAATGCAAAACACAAACAGGTTCTTGTCACCATTTTATTTTTGAACACATTTACACTGTTGATGCTGCATCCTTTAATCCTGTGAAGTACAGATACAGTATTTTGTATCTCCTCCTCTTCTAAACTCTTACCATTTGCCTGTTAGGTTTCAATATCTGACGACATGCACAGCATGAAAAAGGGGGGAAAAAAAACAACTAAAAGATCACGTTGTTGCACAATGTGTTGAGGTAAGCCTAACAAATCACCAGCATGAATGAATTATTTACAATCTCTTCTATTCTGCTTTGCTTCAAACTGTGAACTTGGAATGAAAATGTGAAGCCCTGCATGAACACTAAGCCGCATCACTCATTCACACAAAGTGTCTTGAAGACTTCTTACAAGAAAGCATGTCAGCAGCATATGGGTTTCTCTTGCCCTTAACCTGGCTTTTCAGGCACATGTTAAATTTGCAACATACTTTATGCACTGCAGATATTTTGCTGCAACAAACAGACAGTTCTACCAGTTCTAATAACCATCTTTCAGAAGAGAGATACAGACTAACTACAAATAAATTCTAAGATTTTTTTAAAGTCACATTGCAGGTAGCGTGAGAAGTCAAAGCGCATCTGAAAGTTTTATGTCCAGTATGCTCATTCACTAACTATATTTAAATAATCTCGAGGTTAATTTATAGAAGAAACCATTAAAAGAACCTTCTCCACAAAGTCTACATTAACACACAGGTCTAGACTTAAACAATAAAATCTGTTCCCCAAACTAAACATCTGCTACTAACTACAATGCAAAATGTCTGTTTCTGCCTTGTAGACATTTACTACGCAATTTTGAAGCAAGGTGTTTTGACAACTAACACAGATGCACAGATTTTCATAGTGCAATACTACTTCATCAGAAAAGTACTGAAGGCCCTTTACCAATTCACAGGAACTTTGAAGTCACACAGCTTGTAAAAAAAATGACAGGAGAGGGCAGATTCATACCTCAGCTGTAAGAGACATTTTAGTCTAAAGCAAAACTATTTTAACGTTATTCTCAAACATCTCATGATGAAATAGGTACTCCAGCTAGGTGCACCACTCTGCCTTCACTGCTCCTTTCGCGTGCTCTCTGATTTTAGTCACTCAAGACAATTCTGGCCATTGTCTGCATATCATTACATGGAAAATCTTTTTGGCTAAACTTCCTGAGCTCATGCCCATTCCTAATCCCCCATGACCACTGTGAATACACTGACGTGATTTTTGTACCTTGTGCCATAATATGCAACTCTAACAAGCACTACATAAGAATCAGCAAGCACTTCATGTCAGTAGTATGAATGGCCTAATGAGAGAAGGAAATGTAATTCTGCATCGGTACCCGTAAGTTTTATGAGAAAAAACAACAGTATCTACATGTTCTAAATTGGGTTAACTAACTCAGAACCTTCCTCGGGGGAAAATGAGGAAGCAGACTTCTAACGGTTTCATCCAAGCCTTAGGAATTTTTTGTATACAATTTTTCCTGTGAACTTTAACATCTTTCAAATAGAAAGTGTCAAATCAGTAGCTGATGATATCATGAAGTTACTTTCCTAGATGTCCTAAAAACACTTCTTGACTAAAAACTGTAATTTAAAAGCAGCTTGCACCACTTCATTTTTAAAAATTCTGAGTAATTAGAATAATGTGTTTTCAGGAGACGCTTTAAGACTTTTGCCAACTATCAGTTTAAACCTAACTTTGTAAGAGATGCTAAAAGAGAAGCCATTGTTTGACACAAAAAGAGAGTTTTGAATGGTTGAGTATAAATTCTCATTTACTGCAGCTATGACATACGATTTTGACAAAAACAGTATACAAAATAAAACAAAGTTTAAGACAAACATAATACATTTATTATCTTGAAAGATACGTTCTTCACGGACATACACTTTCTGACAACATGTCTTACAGTTTCCACAGTAAGAAATGTTACTCTTGAGAGTAAACACCGATATTGGCAAAGTACCTTTGGTAATTACATAGTTCATAAAAATTAAAAAACCTTCTATTTTTCTGATACAAGAGGATTTAAAAAAAAAAAAAAAAAGACATTAAGAAATATCACCAAAAATACAGTGGTAGAGTAATATTTATGATATTGTACCTGGCCATTTCCCAGCAGAGAAGTATCTTCTCCCATTAGAAGATACGAGCCATAAAAGAAAACAAATGCATGGAAGAAGCCCAAGACGGTCCAGTAAAGAAATGGTTTAAACCCCAGGTGGGCATTTTTACTGATATCTCTGCAGAAATAAAATTGATACAGGATTTCAGATTGTCTTTATATACCCATCAGCTATTCACATTGCATGATTACTACTACTTTTAAAAAATATAGCTTTTAACTTCACCAAGATACATGTAACAAATGCTGACATACGAAAAAAAAATACATAACTCATGATTTGCCTCTGCTTTACACAGGGATCGCCAATGGCAAGGGTCTCAAATGGGTCAAGTTTAGGACAGCACAAGCTATGCAAAAGGAAGAAAAAGCCAGATCTCCTGATACCTACCCTTTGTTCTGCTTAGAAGACCCTTCAGGAAAAGAGAAACATCTAAAAGACATCTCTTTTTCACAAAAATACAGATTGATTTTGTCCAAAAAGCTGTATGCAGTGTAACATGCTACCACTGGGAGGACATATAATTCTACAGGAAATCACTTCCCCTCTCAGTAAAGCACATCTTCTGATGATTCCCCCCACCAGTGTCCTAGTGATTCATTTGTGTGTTTGATTGATTTTCACCTCCTACATTTAATGGAAGAGAAGGCTGCCAATCATGTCAGCAGACCAAGTGCTCAATTCTCTTTCAGTCTTAACATGACTGACATAAAAAATTTTAAGAATACTCATGTTAATTAACTTTTAGGATGAAAACTGTAGCTGCAGTTCTCCCTCGAAATAGTTACTAAAAATTGTATAAATTACAGCTGAAAAAACTGTAGGAATACACAGTTCATAGACTTCTGCAGATGCTGCTGTTATTCTAAATGATGTTCTACTGTGACAATATATGCTAGAATATACATACCGATAGAGCACAGGTTTACTCTGTAATACATGCGGATGCACATGCTGTTCAAAAAGACTGTATATGAGGACAGGCAAGGAAGTGAAACAAATATTGTACAAAGTCAGGTATACACTGTCATAGAGTGTCTGAAAATGGAAACAAAAATTATTTTGAGTACTGTAAAGAAAAAAGTTGTTTATACTTACTAAAATTTATCAGCACACTATAGCAGCAATAAGTCGTCATATGAATTCACTAGTTAGAAAAAAACCTATGTTCACATAACCATTCAGTAACATCAAGCTATCAAATACAAAAAAATGAAGCTGGGTAATTGTTAAGTGTAAAATTTTGACGTTCCTGTGTAGTTCTTTCCCATTTTTCTAGTTATTTACCCTGAGTGTTTCCTACACGTTTATCATGATGTAAGGCATTCAATACTTACTTGTTGTGAAAACAAACAGAAGAACTGATATAAAAACTGTGGTGTAATAAAGCACACATTCTGGGGAAAAAAAAGAAAGAAAAAAAAGTGAAGGAAATACTTAAATAGTTAATCCTCACAATCCTAAAAAGAAATTGCTAACTCTTACATGCTGGCAAAAATACACTGGGAGGATATATAGCATTTCAGCATTTTACTTGGCAAAGTGAAGTAAAATGGTTTGATCAAGAGCATATTTTGTTAGTCCTCTGGGACAATGAACCTGAAAAATATAAACTTAATTGCAGTGCTTGATGAACACAACTCATTATGGGAGTACAAAAAATATTAAACGAGGAGAAACCCATTCATTTCCCCCTTACTTTCTTTTTAAGAATTTCTTTCTGAAAGAGTTTCCACATTTCATTCAAGCAATCATGTGGTCTACTTGTGAGCTTTCTGCATGGAAGTAGACAAAACAGAAACCAAAACCTAACACCATGCTGTGATCTTTAAATGAAAGCAAACAATCGAAGATAAAACGTGGCTTGGTGGCCAATGCTAGAATCTCTGACAAATTTCAAGTAAGATAGTGAATTTTGACTTCTTATCATAACTGATGATCAAAGACATTATGAGCAGCTCAAACACCCCAGCCCAGGACTGAGCTCCCAGGCTACTCCTTGCCCATCCCTGCCAGCTCCTCCTTCTAGCATCTGGCTTAAGCTCACCCTGCTGCTCCATGCCCATTGCTCCCCGAGAGGTATCCAGAGTTGACTCAGTCCCTTGCAATGCTTCTGAAGTGAAGACTGTTACAATTTCCTTAAGGTGAGCCTGCCAGCAAAGGACATGTTCTTTCCCCACACACCTCCTACTCCCTCTCTCAGCTACTTCCTATGCTCCTTTCTCCTTTTAAGATAGATAAATAGATTTGGTTTATATTAAATCAATAAACAAAAAAGGTTATACTTTTACATCTTGCTAAAAAATGCATTTAATTTAAAGCTAGTAATGCTTCTTTCAGAGAGCAAACATGTCTGCATCCCAGTCTAGGCAAACTCATATCGGTATTTAAAACCTATTTCTAGGTGGAAGTACTGAACAATTTCACAGAGAAGCTATTGAATTGGATTGTAAACTAAAAAAAAAAAAAAAAAAAAAGTCGAAAAATCGTGTTTGAAGAGAGATACTTAATCTGTTGCCACCAAAAATCTTAGATCTGAAATAAATTTCTTGGTGGGAAAGAAGTTACACATTTTCCATGAACTTCACTGGCACTCTCTGAAGACTTACCTTATAAAAAAAGTACTGTACAAGGGTTGCTATTCTAATATAGTAAAAGTGTCCATGAACAAAAAGCAACTTGGAGAGGAATTTAAACCGTGCTATTGCATAGTCACTGTTTCTTACAGCTTGTCTTCCTTCCTTACCCATGATTCCTGTAATATTTGAGAAATGAAATAGAAAACAGGTTAAACATTCTAAAATAAAGTTTAAAAAACCCAACAACAAACACTTGAAGCTACATTTCTGTTTTTCTGCACTTCAACGTTATAGGCTTCATCAACTTTCAATTCCAAAAGAAGGCATTATTCCTGACACTTAGAACTAATAAAAATAAAATAATTAAAAAAACCCCACCCACCAACTATTTCTGTAAGTTATACTTAAGAAAACGTTTATGGAAAGAAACAAAACAACAACACTCATACACAACCAAAATTCCCAAACCAAGCAAACCACTATCTATCCATCTTTAATCACCAATTCACTTAGTATATTTCACTTCAGAGAGGTTTTTCTTACAGTATTTTCTGGGAATAATATATGACCTATACTCAACAGCAGAATAAAAGTGCTGTTCTTGCAGTAACAGTTTACTTACTCTGATGGGCTGAACAATGCTTGTCACTTGTCACAGCTGAACACAAATTCACTTCTAGAAACTATTATTAATGATAGGATAAGCATACACAGAGAAGACAAACTGTTCTTTTATAGAAGTCGTCTGGGATTCTTGAAAACCAGACATTTAAAAATGCTTGTTGCTTTTGAACAAAAAACAGTCTAAAGGTCCAATCACCCTCAACAGCAAAGACTTACTGGTTCTAACCAGTGTACATACAGTATCTAATATGCTATAAATTACAATAAAAACTTGGATATTTTTAAATAAGCTTCAGTTATTTGACAAACTAGCTGTAGCATAAAGCATCAGTTGCTATTGGCCTGTAACCTTCTCAAGCAACCTATACCCATTGTCTTTAAGACTCCTGGTTTAAAGAATCAATGGCATGTGATTTACATGATAAATATTACATACACCTTTTAAATCACACAGGGTGACAGAGCAAATATCCTTACATACCAATACCTTAGGCAATACCTTCAGACTTATTACTGTAACAAACATCACCCAACAAAGTCAGTAAAGGAAATACCAAAACACTATATGATGGGTACCAATTCAGTTATATGTATGTTTGGTTTTTGTTAAGTCAGTTATATAACACAGCAGAAAAAAAAAGTTTAAAGACAGTTCTGGCCAGATGACAGAAAACATACTAACAGAGAAATCTACCAAGCTGATATGAGAATCCACAACAGTCTCTCAAGAGAGATAAAGAAATCCTTCTCCTCAAAGACAAACTAGATACAAATGTCTACAGTAATACAGATGTGGTGCAAACAGTGTCACTTTAGCACAAATAAAAGTCTAAAGGTCAATTTTACACAAGAACTTAGAACCTGACAATGTCTGAAGTCAGAGACCACTTCCAATACCTGACACAGGGTACTTCTCAGATTCTAGTTAAAAAGAACCTTTGCTGTTTTTATGGCAGCATAAAACAGGACCTTTGATTATTGGTGGACTACACAATAAACCTAAGATTTCTGAAAGCAAACAGCCTTAGATTTTAGTATTCGTTAAAACTCTACTACAACAGATGATCAGATTAACATCCTGTCATTTACAGGTGCAAAAACATTAGAAGTTTATCTGTTTATAAACACTCTTCAGGATCTAATCCTCTACTAAAATTTGCATGTTATTTGCCTTTATCTTTTATGACAAAAGAAAATTACCTATGCCAACATGTGCTTCTTGTATCATGCTCACATCATTAGCACCATCACCGATGGCTAATGTTATAGGTTTCTCTGGGGATGTTTTTAACAGTCGTACTACCTGGGGAAAAAACGGGAGGAGGGAGAAGAAATTTTTCAGATTAGACAGTCTACCAACAAAGCATGTCACTAATTGCCAAGTACTTTAGTCACCTACCCGTAAATATAATTAGTATATTCTATGAATGTGCACATGGGTAAAACATATCTTTGGCATATGACGTGCATAAATTCACTACTCCTTTAGAAAAACTCCCTCTTTGGGGCGCAAGCCTTATTTAAATACTATGACTGCCTTCAGCTTATTTCGCTGTTCTTACTTAGATGTACTTTTACAACTCTTAATTTGGTGATTTATCATACAAAATAGTCAATTAAAAGTCAGAACTGAAAATTTACTTAGGGAGTAATCCAGATTTAATGCCCTTTACTAGATGTGCCCAGATAGTTCACATTTTCAATTAATGGAACTAATAATTTTAAAATAGGAATCTGACAAAACCCCAGCATATTAGTTCAAAGATCAATACATGCTGTTATCAAGAAAAATAACTTCTTTTTAAAGCAACTCTGTTATCACCAATGGGTATTCTCAGTTGGAAAAGTCACAGAAGAAGATATGACAGACAGAGTAAAAAAATTGTTCACATACAAGGCTCTAAAATCCTCAAAAGAAGAGCAGTTATATTTGCTCTTTGCAGAAAGGAAAGAAATCTTTAATGTAAGTGCCAACAGTATTCTTCACAGAGAGGACTTAGTTAGATGAGGCTTTTAGTTAAGGAGAGTTAGTAATTTATTAACCTCCCAGAGAGCTCTAACTAAAGGGAGAGGCTTCACTAATTCAGTCATAAGCAGGCTGCAGAGATAAAGGTGAGAATGCAGATCCAGAAGGCTTTCTAAAAAAAAAAAATAAATAAATTTATCTGCAAAATAAGACTGCATATTCCCCCCGCCAACTTCCAGAAAACCCAAAGTGGAAATAATCAACAGAACAACAACTGCATGAGGTAAGTAAACAGTTCAAATAAATGAGTTCTAGCTGGTATGTCACTGTACTGATTCATAGGAGCACTAATGCTTCACACAAGGAACACAGCAGTGATTAAATACAGTCCACAATTCAGAGAAATCCACCTCATTGTGGGAACACATTCCCTAATTACAGGTACTAATATTTAAGTTTACAGGCTCCCCATTCCTAAGGGGTAATTATTTCAAGTAAATTTAGCATTAGATCTTACTAAGCAGCCTTACTGCATGGCTGCAGCATGTCACCCAGATCAGTTCTCATGAGATACCAAACACTGCGGTAAGTTAGACAAACATCTACGTGAAAAAGTCGAGACAAATCCTCTGACAAATATTAACAGCGGTAGCTCTGAATTACTGACATGAAAGATGTTTAAAAGGCTTCCAACCCAGAATATGTAAAAAAAATAAGTAGTGAGACTGCTAGCCGTATATTGACAAGCATTAAAATTACAGAAAAATATGTGGTAAATATTAAGACGAGTTCCAGCTTAACCTTGGAATAAACCTCACAAAAAGGGTGCCTACAGCAGAAAATCAAAAGCAAGGATTAAACTGCTGTACAATTCCCTCCCCCACCCTTCCCTCCCATGTTGTACAGCATTTGCCTCAGTGATTTATCTACTTCAGTGTTTCAAAAAGTCACTGCCATCAGAATTAGGTTTTGTTGTACTTTACGACAAAACACAGGAAATAATTGAGATTATCTGATGGATACGATAAGAATTAAGGAAAGCACTACTGGCTGCTCTCTGACAAATTTGGCAGTACAATACATATTACAGATCAAGTTAAATGATGAAGTAAGAACAAGGACACAACAGAGGCAAGTAACTACACCTTAAAGAGAGAGGATGGCAAAAATTTCAGCTAAAAGAGTGTACATAAAGTGGACACAGCCAACAAATAATTTTTCTTACAGTATTTACAAACTTCCTTTTAACATTTTACCGAAACTACTATTATACCAAGTTTTCTATACAACTGAACAGTTGTATAATGAAGTGATTCTAAAGAAAGACTGCATTAAAAGTCTGACTAGATATTGGAAGAAGGAAGAGTGACCTCAAAACAGGTCACCTGTGCTATAGTAAACCAGTCTCTTTTGCAAATCTAGTACCTCACATTTCCTATGGCTTTAAGGTAAAGAGATGTCTTTTTTCCCTTTCTTTTTGACATGTAGAAATAGACTGGGCAATAGTGCCTTTTCAGAGTCTTAATATTACTGGAATTACATGCAAAAAGCCTTTAAAGCATATAGATAAGCTAACGGTATAATAATTAATATTATAATTAATATCAA